GTTCTAAATAGAAGAAAATGTAGATTTGGGGCAGAACCAAAGGGAAAGGGATTTCCCTTGGCAAATGATTTGCAATTTGTGGATTGGAGCTGACCCAGCTGCAATTCCCACGTCATTGTGAGTGCTGTCTGAAATGTGACCAGCTTATTAAAGAGTAAGAGCTGGAGGCAATCCCCCCACAGGGACACTACAGAACAGGAGCAGAGTCGAAACCCACCGGCTCCCTCCTCACAGCAGCTCCTGTTAGCAGCGAGCTGGCTTTGCACCCACACATCCTGTGCCAGCTCCCGGCACCCACTGGCTGCCTGCTACAGTGGGAATCAGAGCAAACAGACTTATGTGAGGCGGTGCTCTCCCTCTTTGCTATGAAAAATGAGCACTCATTAATTCTTTATTCAGTGGTCTTCAGGCTACTGCATTGCAACGGGGATATTTTCAAATGCCACTACCAGAAATTCTGCATTGGGTGGAAGCCTGATGTCTGCCTTAAAATTTTTTTTGTCTCTTTTCTTTTTGGAGGGCTATGTATGCTGTGAAGCTCAGGGGCTACATATGACTTGGCTTGGAGCTCAGGAGTTGCTCCGGTGATGCATGGGTAAAACACCTGCACAGGGTACCAGAGTACAAACCTGAGTGTCCAGCATGCAAAGCATGGGGTACAGTGCTTCCCTTTTTTCTTTCTTGAAATTTCATGATTTGCAGTAGTATTAATGATTTAGGTATACTGTGTTATTGTATCGCCTCCATCCCCAGAGTGCCAATATCCCTCCACCACCGCTCTCAGCTCCCTTTTTCACCTACCCGCTCCACTTGGCTATGTCAGTTCTGTGAGCAGAGCCTTGGGGACTGTTTTAATTTTTATTGGCATCTCAGGTGATTGTGAAGCTGGTGGTCCTTGGGCCCCACAGAGAGCAACGCAAATGGATGAAAGCATCTACCCCTGTAAGGTCCCTAGGGACCCTAAGAAAAATTCCAGAGCTAAACTCTGCTAATTAGTAACTCTCCCTTTCCTGCCCCCTCCCTAGCAGAGCCTTAGCTGTAAGGCCCTTCCTTATTGGGATGTAAATTCTGAGACCATTTGTTGACTCTTCCTTGCTGGGTTGTAAATTCGAAAACCATTTGTTGGCCCTTCCTTATCTGTTACCTCTGTTAGGAACTTTTCCCCTTATCCCCTCCACCAGAATGCAGTAGCCATGAGCAGAGAATCAAAGGGAGCAGGTGATAGCCAAATGTCTGAGTTACCAGATACACACTAGCCACAATGCCTATGTACGTAAATGCTGATCTTTGAATCTATACGCTAAGGAGTAATGTACTTTTAAATGGATTGGTTAAGAAAGTATATGTTGTTACAAATTTATTGGCTATGAAATGTGCGGGCTTTGCTGTAATGGCCCATGGAGGTCTATACAAGATCCCCTTTGAAGAAGTTCGGGGTCTTGCCTCACCTATATGACCTGCGTGTCTGTGTAGGCAGCTCGACCCTGGCTAGCCAGTCTTACAATAAACCTTGCTTGCTCTTTGCAGTCTCTGGAGTCTCTTCGTCATTAAAGGGAGATCACGATCCGCGTCCTAACACCCCAAGAAGCGCCTTCTTCTGGGCTGAGACCTCTGAATCTGCCCTGCTTCTAGGAGACCGAGCTGTACCTTTCTCAGGGGATTCTCCACTCACTGGCAGAACTAGAATAATATACAGAGAGCTTTCATGACCAGATAGTTCAGGAGTTCTCTCTGTGCAGCTGCTGAATCTAGAGCTCCAAGCATTTATTTAGTACTTGTTTTATGTGTGTTTTGGGTTTGGGGGATATACTCTCAAGTGCTTAGAGGCTAGCTAGTACTTGTTTTACCTCATGAAGAGCATTAGGACAGCATTTCCTGCATTCATTATTTTCTGTTTGTTTTTTTATTAAGAAAATCTCCCCGTGGCACCCTCTAGCATTTAGAATGTGCTGTCTGTGGTGTTCTGCCCTCCAGGCCACCCATACGACATTTCCTTGCTTTGTCTTCCAAGGAGACAGAGAACCAGGGAGGATTGTGAAGAGTTTTATGTTGAGATTACTTTTTAAGGGAACCATAAAGAAAGTCAAAAGGATTCATATATACCACCTTACTTGTTAGGTAAACTCTTCCTTCTTAAACCGACCACACTTCAAAGACAAGGTGTGCCATAGGACTGCAAAATAAAATCACTGCATGAGCTGAATCTGAAAATTCCATTTATTAAAACAAATACATTGCTTATGTGGGATGAAAATGCACACATCACATTCAGGTTTTCCTGCTTTAACATCTCTGCATTTCCCTCTCTGAAAGACACTCTACAGATCTTATATAGGGAATAAATGAGCAATTCTTGAGCTGGGAAAATATTAATGTTTCTAACAATTGACCATAGCCAGGAGCAGTCAGAAGCAAATATTTTTAAAAAAGTACAAAATTCCTGAAGACGGCATGCTTGATGTCTCAAAATTCCTTATGTGAATATGAGAGTATAGAGAAAGAGTTTTTAATTTTCCTTGGTAAACAATCTATTTCAAACATTATTAAAATTAGTAAAATTATCCTCAGTCCCAAGTACTTACTGGCAATCTGTTTTAAACTAAATGTACTTGGTTTAAAACTAGAAAATAATGAAAAGCAAAATTAATATTAAGAATGATGCAGAAAAAAGTTGTTTTTAAAAAATAGAGTTTGCATTTTAAATAATAAGGATTGTATTAATGCTTAACCTAATGCCATGGCATATTTTCATTACTACCCAAAACATTAGTGAAGTTTCCTATCAGTCACTCCTTCAGATAAAATTATGCTGGTGAAAATGATTGTTGAATTAAATTCTTTAAGAGAATTAAAGCTCTTCAGAGGCATAAGTAATCAAAATATTTCCCCTGCCCCTTCAACAAGTGAAAATATCAATAAGCCAAAACCCATTTAAAGACTTTGGTATCATAATTACAACTGCAGGACATAAAATTATGAAAAATCCAAAACATAATTTAAACTTAATTTCAGTTGGGGTGTATTTTATGCCTTCTCTCTCCTGTTAAAAATGTTATAGACAATTTGGGACATCCTTAACTTTTCATTACCAGAGCTTTCTTGTGATGCCTCCTAAATGTTTTAATTCTACCCTGTAATTCCTAAGATCTAGATTTATGTGAAAATATAAAAAATCCTTCTAAAAAGAATAAATCGTGCCAATTATAAAGATCATCAGGGTCTCATAATGATGCCTTAAGAACTACTAAAGAGTGCTTCATTCATTGTTTATATGGGGTCACATATTTTCAAAGCATATTTTGGCTAATACTGAAAATGTATAGCGTTTTAGCTGATTCAGCAGTATCAGTCAACTGTTGGCCCAACATTGTAGTTTAAGAATGCCCTGCCAGATTTGTTTCCCCTTTATGTATTCATCAGCTTCCCATGGACTATTACCAAAGCTCCCAGATTTGAACAGAAGTATATGGTTATAGAAGCACATTTACTATTTTGTAAGTGTAAGTGCCTTAGTATTCTCTTCCTCCCATTCAAGCATGGCCTCAATTGCATGTTTTTATTTTTATTATCACGCCCATAAAAATAAATTATTTACCAAGTTTCTGGAAAAATCTTCCTTAACACTTCATATATGTTTATCTCCTTTTTCCTCCCTCTCTACCCTCCTCTTACTATGTTTTTAAATGGAAGGAAGAAAATAGAAAAAGTAAAACAAATACTTTGGGCTATCAAAGCAAACAAGAAGATATAAGAGTCCGTCTTTGGCCTGAGCATGACCCGGAGAAAAATCTAGAAAGGCTGCCGGGCTGCATTACTAGTGGAGGCTAGAGCTGCAGTGAAAAGTCACTTTCAATCCTCTCCTGGGATGAGAGAGCTCTAGCTGCAAAGCAGTTGTAGATAAAGGCCAAAAGACTCACAAATGAGTACAACAGAATCAGGAACAAAAGAGTTTACTGGAAAATTTAGGGAATGCAAAATAAAGACTATCTCAGTGGATTAGGGAGCCAGAGCCTTTTGTGGGCTAGCTAGCTCTGGGGGGAATCTCTTTGCCCCCCCCCGCCCCCCTTTTACCCTGGCTGGTAAATGGCAGGGATTCTGAGAATTAGTCTTCTGTAGAATCAGGGGTTTGTCACTCCTGGTACTGGAATAGAGGAGGGTCACCATTTTGAAAAGAAGAGTTCAGAAAGTTTTCCTTTCTCAGCAAGTATCATGCAACTGAGAGTTCGTGCAATTTAGGAAAAGGAAATTTACTCTACCGGATAACGACAGCACTCACCACCAAGGTGAAGCCTTCCCTCTCTGGCTCGAGGGCACCTATGCTGCCCTGCATCCTGGATGATTAAAACGAAAGACTCTGAAATCTGGAAAATCTGTTGAAGAGGCGTTTAGGCCAATTTTAACTTGGAGGTATTTTAGGCATGGCTAAGGCTCTGAAGTAATTTCATTTTTCAAAATCACTGAGGTTTTTCCTCCCCAGCTTCTTTTCTCTCTCCTTCCATTTTCCAGCTTGATAGTAAAACAGCAAAACTTCTGAATGGATGTAACATAGGGACATTTTCATGCAGTATTACCCCAAAATTGCCACAAATATATGAAAGCACCAGTCACAACACATGGTTTACTTTAACTTGCAGAATCAAAGCTATCATGTACGAATGTTAGGAAGAGTGATAAGAAAACACAATCAGCATTGTTGTTACCATGAGGATAAACCATGGGGAACATCTCCCTAAACACTTCGGGTGCTCATCCTTGGAGTAACATCTTACTACAAGTCCAGCCTTATCTTCAAAACTATGCTAATGAGAAGAGAATAAAGGGGAGGGGTACAGAAGAAGGAAAGAAAGAAAAATAAAGGCACAAAGACTCAACATCAATGCCATTAAACCGAATCACAGCTACACTGCACGACTCAGCTTATCGAAAGGTATTCTAAAGGAAATTTTCATTCACAGATTATACATATCTCAGCTCAGAAAAACTGTCTGCTTGAATTTTATTATCATTATTAATTTTTTAAAATACAGAGAAGAAACAGAATGTTTGGGGAGGGATAGCAGAAAAGAAATGACACCGATTACATAGTCCCCTGCTCCAGGCGGCAGTGCAGGTATCCGACCTCTTCACTCAGGCTGTACAACAGCTTTCATTCTCGTAAAGGGGTCTCGTTCTTTAAACATGCATAGCCTGGAGTTGCCAGGCTGGTTCTCTCTCTCTCTTCAAATGCTGTGGACAAGAAAGGTGCCCACTTTCCTAAAAACTCTACATCACTGTCTCAGGAGCCCCCGAGGCTCTGCAGGCTTCTCGTGAAGACTTAAAGGATAGCACAGAAAAACTTCTTCTCCCTAAAGGGGTTCTCTGAAGCAGGAACAGGGGTCATCAGCGGATCCTCCTTGGCATGCGCTTCGCAATAGGCCATCAGGTCTGCGGCAGCCTTGGATACCTGGGCAGGAAGACAAAAACAACTGCAGTTTTAGATCAGGCCTTGAGGAGGGGACAGTCAGCCCAGGTCCAGGATTTGAGTTCAGATCCCCTCTTCATCACACACTGTTACTGTCACTGTCACTGTGCTCCCGTTGTTCATCGATATGCTCGAGTTGGCCCAGTAACGTCTCCGTTTTGAGACTTGTTGTTACTGTGTTTGGCATATTGAATAAGTCACAGGTAGCCTGCCAGGCTTCGCCATGTGGGGAAGATACTCTCAGTTGCTTGCTGGGCTCTCCAAGAGGGGCGGAGGAATTGAACTCAGCTTGGCCATGCTGGCTGCATGCAAGGCAAATGCCCTAACGCTGTGCTATCTAGCTTATGTAAATGTGAGCCTCAGGGTCCTCCTCTACCAGTAGGAAGCTGCTGACACTGAGTGAGTACACAGGAGTCAGAAAACAAGTTAGGAATAAGGAGGAGCTGAGAATGGCACTTAGGCTGCAGAAAATGAAGGAGTTGCTCACTGTTGGGAGCACCAAAGTGTCCACCTTAAGACATTTTGTGCAGCCCAGAGAGCCAGTGTCTCATTCAACTGTGTGTGTCCCTGCCTTTTCCTTATCCAGGGCTGGAGGATGCAAGGGCTAGGGGCCATTCTGTAAGTCCAGTGTGAACACAATGTAGGCTTTAGGTTTTATTAGCTGAAGGCATGGCTCTGCTATTGACATCAAAAACCATGTTGGTTCCTTGATTAAGAAACAACGGTTAGGGATGCTTTATGTCACTTTCCCCATTTTATCTTGTCCTTGAAAAAAAATGGGGGGGGGGGGGCTGAAGCAGTAGCACAGTGGGTAGGGCGTTTGCCTTGCAAGTGGCCAACATGGCCAACCCGAGTTCGATTCCTCCACCTCTCATGGAGAGCCCGACAAGCTACCGAGAGTGTCTCACCCACACAGCAACGCCTGGCAAGCTCCCTGTGATGTATTCTATATGCCAAACACAGTAACAAGTGTCACAATGGAGACGTCACTGGGCCCGCTTGAGCAAATCGATGAACAACGGGAGGACAGTGACAGTGATCTTGTCCTTGAAACCTGTCATGAACGGGGCCTCCTCCTGGATATAAGTGCATCTGTTCCAGAATCTATCCACACTGAAGATTTGCTCTGGTCAGTAATTTTCTGTTACACCAGCTCACTTAAGAGTTTTTCCTGCAAATGTTTCTGCTGTTGTTCATCAACATGTGCAGACTCAATCTTCACTTGCATATTACGTGCTGAATGAGTCTGAAAGGGTTAAGTCACTCAGAGTTAGATTGCACTTAAAACTACAGGTAGATTGTGCCTTTTCACAGCATACATGAACTTTCTGCTATTGTTGTTACAATCCTGGCACAAATGAGAGACAGACACATCTGTGTTTGGTCATGAAACCAGGTCACTGGAAACTTATTCATACATGGTTCTCAAATTATTGCTGGTTTTGCTCTCAATGAAGCAGTTATTAAGGGTAACAACTTCCACCACTTTTTTCTTATTCTTTATTTTGCGGGGGTTGGGGTAGGGGGTAGGTGACACTTGTCAAGGCTGGAGGCTACTCTGGCTCTGTGCTCAGGAAAGGTCACTCCCACTGCTCAGGGGACCATGTGATGCTGGGGACTAAACTGGGGTTGGTTGCATCCAAGGCAAGTGTCTTACCCCCTGTACTATCTCTTGACCTCTTTATTATTTTATTGTTTTGGGGCCACAGCCGATGATGCTCAGGAGTTACTCGTGCCTCTGTGCTCAGGAATCATTCCTGATAGTGCTCAGGAGACTGTATGGGTTGCTGAGGATTGACAGTGGGTGGGACATGTGCAAGGCAAGCACCTTTCTGCTGGACTCTTTCTGGAACCCTCTTTGTTATCTTTCTTTTTGATGGTGATGATGGTAAATTAGGGTATGCCTGAATGAATTAGAAATACTATCAGTTTTTTCTCCTCTTTTTGTAGGCTTTAGATCTGTGAATTTTGTTTGTAGGTCAAATACTCAATGGTGCCTTTAATTAGTTAATTAACTAATTAATTAAGGGCCTCTCCAGAGGGATTGGTGACACTAGAGCTTTACCTTACAGTGCTCTAGAGGCCAAAAGATGCCAGGGATTAAAGCTGGGCTCCTGTGCATGCTAGATTGCAACCCAAGCCTCCGAGCTATCTGGATTTTGTTGGTACCAGTAGCAGTGGATTATAAGTAAGCTCAGGAGACACAATGAATAAAACAACATTAAATCAAACACAAGGTAAAATAATGCTGTCAAGAGACCTGGTAAACATAAGATAGATGAGACTGCTGCTACCATAAAACATGATCAAGCTCTAATGGCTATGAGGTCAGAAGGCAACATACATCTTGGAATGTCTGTTCTATATTCAGTTTGCTTTAGATATCTATTGTTATAGATTACACCAGAGTTTATAGTACATTGATTGCTTGATTTGTTGTTTAATGTAGTTGATATATTTCTTTAATCAGGCATTGTGCCCGAGAGGGAGTCCTCTTGGATGTCTGTTCAGTGATACCAGCAAGGCTGTAATTTCTCACACTTTTGTATCTGCCTGGTGAGTAAAACTCAGGTTCAAAACTGTAATGAGATTAAGGGGGCTGCCTGGAGAAACTGCTTTCGATATCTTTTGGTTTCATTGTTAATCCATTGGTTAGTTTTTCAGTAGTGGTTTAATAATTTATGAGTACTTGCAAATTTCTCTCTCTCTCTCTCTCTCTCTCTCTCTCTCTCTCTCTCCCTCTCTCTGATTTTTGACCACACCTGGTGGTGCTTGGGAACAAATCTTGGTTTGTTGGTAAGGGATATTTCTAGTGTTACTTAGGGAACAATGCCTGCTGGGGATCCAATCTGGAACTCTTGCACGCAAGGCATGCCCTACAACCTTTGAGCTATCTCCCCAGCCCTGAAAAGATGCTTGATATAATTTTATTCTTAAATTTTCTAAGACTTGTTTCATCACCTATTCTGGAGATGGTTTCATGTGTTTTGAAGAAAACACATGAATGTGTGATAGAATGATCCTCATATTTCTTTTGAAACAGTTTAGCTCAAGGATAGTTAAGCCCAACATTTCCTCACTGATTTTCAATCCTGATATTTATCCATTACTGAAAACTGGTTACAGAAGTTCCTTACTATAATTGAATGATAATTTTTCCCTTTACATATATTGGTATTTGCTTTTACATTTAAGATCTCTGATGTTGGGTGTATATATAAATATGTATATATTTCTACTAATATTTGTGATTGTTATGTCTTTTGCTGAATTTAGTTTTATTATATAATCATAGGTAGTGATTATATAATAAGTGCTGTCCTAGGCAAAATTAAAGAGGCTAGATTTGCTCATATTTTTTATTTGAATACTTGACTATGAACAGTTTCCTTTTTGACAAATATTATTTGATCTTATTTCCTCCAACTAGATTGTCGCCTCCTACAGGCTGTGGTTCAGCACAATGTTAGATTGTCACAAAGTCAGAATTCTAACAATAATTAAAATAGTTTCTCATACTTAGCAATGCTTACTATCTGACAGGACGTGCTAATCATGTTATACACAGGATCCTGCTTAATACTGCATTAATATCTTCATTTTATATGTGGGAACTTGGTTAAGTGCTTGGTTAGATGTTTGTCCTAGAACTTGGAATCAGTAGCAGAGTTGTGAGTCTTTGTGTTTTTCACTTAATCTTTTAAGACACTCTTTCTAGGCTGAAACTGTCAATATTTTCCCTTAACTTACAATCAGGGACAGCAATAGTCTGTCTAACAAATAATGCTTGCAGACAATTTTAGCTAATGTTTTGCACACAACTACTTTCACATTTCATATCTATCGACCTATTTCTTCCATAAATACTTTTCCAGTAACTCTAGAAAACCTCTCCCTTTTATGTTGCTGAATTCTTCTCCAAAAAAACCCAACAAAATCTCAATTATTATCTTCTTAATTGCCATCTCTATCGAAACCACCCTATTTCCGGTCTCCATCTTTTTCCATGATTACTTTTAAATAAAAAGTGACCAATTTGGGTCTGTATGTAGACAAAATGTTCCCCCAAATTCAGATATTGAAATTTCATGTACTAACATCATGATATTTGTCAGTGAGGCCTTTGGAGGGTGTTTAGGTCATAAGGCAGAGATTTTAAAGATACCCCAGAGAGCTTTCCTGTTTCTTCTGCTGTATGAGATTACAGTGCGAAGATAGTCATTTATGAACCAGGAGACAAGCTCTAATCAGACACCAAAGGATGATCTTAGAATTTCCAATTTCCGGACCTTGAAAAACAAATTTCTTCTGCTTATTTCATTCTAGTTTTTGGTGTTCTGCTCTGAAGTCTTAAATAAGTTAAGAGAGTATTCATGGGAAGAATCAGGTGTTAGGCTGTGAAGTTCAATTGTAAAAAAAAGTTGCATATTTTTCACTAACCTAATAGCAATTCAATATTTCCTTCAGTTACAGACAATATGCTACAGTAATAATGCAGTCCCTGTGACCTAGTCATTAAGAGAAGTCAGATATTGTCTATCATATTGTAGTTACTGTAGCTTTATCAATGCTCCCATTTATGTTTATCTGCTTTATAGTTATAGGCCACCATTTGATCTCTTACATAATCAGCCAACAGAAGAGTACATTGTCATACATTATAAAAATATTCTGATAAACTCTAATTTAATATAATCAGTTTCTTTTGTAATTTAAAAACATTATTCTGAGAAGAGGGCCAAACAAGACCTTAGCATGAAGGCAAATATATCTAAGGTCTCCCAAAGCTTAAGAATCTCAGTTGGAGGATCTGGAGAGCTAGTTCAATGGGCTGAAACATATACTTTGCATGCAGGAAGTCCTGATTCAATTCTTTGTGTTAGATGGTCCCAGAGAATTACGGGTATGACCTCCTTCCCTCCAAAACAATTTTTTATTGGGAATGACTCTACTTTTACAGCTTTTCTAGAAGTAGTAGTATT